AAACTTAAAATCACCATTTATTTCTCAAGTCAATATCATTACAAAACGTACGAGTTTTTTAACTCTTTATACAACCATTCGTTGCGATAAATTTAAATTAGGCTTTTGTTATCATAGTCAACCAAAATGAATTCAGAAATTTTCGTATTTTGTAATTAGTCATCAAAAAAATAACTTTGATCACTCTGATCTTACACAAAAGTACTCTGAAGTTGATTTTAAAAGGATGCTGAAGTTCCTCATTGACAACATTCATGTTACAGTCTTCAAGGGCCAGATCTTCCAACAAACAGTTTGAAATCCGATGGAAACTAATTGTGCTCCTTTATTAGCCGACTTGTTTTTATTTCTATTTTATTTTTATTTTTATTTTCTTATGAAGCAGAATTAATTTTTTTAAAAACTTTTACATAGAAACAAGAAAGTATTTGCTGTGTCTTTCAACTTGACATTCAGATAAATTGCCGATGTTGTATCAATTAAAAAAGAGTTACCTCCATTCATATATTGACTCGATATATCCTAGTGAACTTGAAATAAAACACCCCGCAGAGTCTGTCACATCTGTTTCATATTTGGATGTTTTACTACTATAGACGATAGAAGCCAACTAACAACTAAACTGTATGACAAACGAGATATCCAGTTTTTTCCATCCTCAACTTTCCTTATTCATATAGTAATATTCCGTTATCACCTGCATATGGCGTTTTACTCTCCCAACCTATTCGATACTCAAGAGCATGCTCTGAGTGCGATCTATTTTTACACCAAGACAGGCTACTGACAGATAAGTAGATGCTACAGTGATTTCAATAACCCTCTAAATTCTATAGTCGTCATAAGGACATTATAAGCAAATATGACCTATCATTTGGTCATATTTCGACTGATATATTTAATACCAATTGGAAGACCTTTGCTTTTATACTATATTTAACTATAGATTACTCCGTCTTCCTGATTAATACATAGGGATCACGGCGGGTTGACCGGTCGACAAGGGATGCTTACTCCTCCTAGGCACCTAATCCACCCTGGCCGCATCTGTCAATAAGGGCACCTTGAAATCCCAATCGAGTTTGGAATCTGGAATTTCCGTGGGTTCCTGTTTATGCCCTGTTTAAAAATTTGTATTTGAAGTTTCTTAGAGATCGACCACTGTTCTTCATCTTCATATTTTTTTTTCATTTTGATGTTTTTACTGTCCTTCTGGAAGTAAGTAAATGATTGTCCATTGATTCATTATTAATCGGATGATCGGGAATACTTATTCCGCCATCACACCTGATCCCACCTCAGGTGTTTCAAGGGGTTCCTTCCTTGGACTGTGAGCTCGATTATTGTTATCTTCACAAATTCATTTAAAGGTCATCTGCTATCACTTTACAATTTTCTAAATAAGTTCTTTCTTTCCCATAAAACACATCTCACCCTTGCTGGTATATTTTTTAAAAAATATTAGCAACACAGTTGAGGCTGCTATCTGATATTAGTTACCCCACTTTTTGATATGTCTTGCACAATTTGAGGTTTGAAATTTAAAAGTGATATTATTACCTTTTAACCTCTTCTTTATTCAATTGCAAGACTTAAATTCTTTTCAATCTTGATTCAAAAAGTTTTTGTAAATTTTGTAAATTATGTAGCTATTATCACTGAGCACATGTTTGCTAATTGCTCTTTCTTTCTCTTTAGTAATATTTATATTCTTTTTTAACCCATTAAGTTCTCAAATTTTGTATTTGGTCATTTCTCCACTTCTTAACTGAGATTTCCAAGGTTATGTCCGCGCATGAGGATTTCATATCCTTTTCATGTACTTGGTCTGGTTTAAAGGGAAGTAATTCAACCTTCCCTGATATAGTGTATTGGTTGCATTTTAATGATTTTATATACCTGTATACCGAAGACTGACCGTGCCGGTCAGTAACTGTACTTACCTTGAACTACAATATATTCGTACTTTCACACTCGAGTAAAGAAAGAACAGTTCGTAGACCTTTGTATACCGGTCAGATATATACACCTTAACAGCAACAGACTATATATTGACATAAATCAGTTTTATTTTCCAGATACGTCACGTTAAATATAAAAACATCACGCACCTCTTGAAAAAGTCTAGTTGGACGGGGAATGAAGGGATAAAAAGGAAATAAAAATTAAGATGAACTCTTCTGTCATACTACACATATTTCCTAATTGAATCCACAATGTCCTATCTTCACTAGTTTTGGATAACACGTTTTGTGTAATGGGTAATTATTTAAACATTATAAAACTAACACTGTTAATACAACATTCAGTAAGTTGTACTATTAGATAGGAAGATAAAACAAAGATTAAACCTCTTTCTTCAAAATTTTCTAAATAATTGTGCTTTCCCCCCGGTCTATTGCATAAATTTTGCATTATTTAACGAAAGCAATCATCTATTTTTATGTGTTCCGGGACTTTGGCCACTCTTAGTTTTTCTCGCATTTTTACATTTTAATATGTATACATGTATTTAATTTATTAGTCATCAAAGGCTTGAACTTTTAAGATTAACAATCATTTAAGGCAGCTCTTTAGAAATGATTAAACTGCACGGTCATTGATTGCTAAGTGACGAATTGTTGTTAACAGCATTTCTTGACTTAAAAGATTAAAAGAAACAAGCATTCTGAGAGTATTGCATTAGCAATACTAGTCCCCTACCGGCAAGTGTAATCTGGTTGCCATTAAAAATTGAAAATGCCATAATTCAGTCAAAAATCATTGAAGCGGAACGAAATGCAAACTTGATCTATAAGTAATCAAGGTAAAGTCACATACCAAAAATCAGCTAAATATCTCCAAGCGTTTAGAAAAAAATCGCGGAAAACCCTTAAAAATTGAAAAGGTCATAATTCCGTCAAAAATCAATGAAGCGGAACGAAATGCAAACTTCGTCTGTAACTCATCAAGATACACTCGCATACCAAAAATCAGCTCAATATCTGCAAGTGTTTAGGAAAAAAGTGCGGAAAACCAAGTGGGACAGACAGACAGACGGACGGACAGACTCAGAGGAAACCTATAGTCCCCTCCGGTTTCACCGGTAGGGGACTAATAAAAAGGTGGTTATGCTGGAAAGAAATAATCTTAACTTTTTTAAATAGTTTGTTTTTACTTTCCTTTAAATTCAGACTGATTATACAACAAGCGAATGCATTTATCACTTTATGAAAACAGAAAATTTGCGATATTTTTACTCTAAGTAACGCAGTAATTTGACTAAGTTTTTATTTGTATGAAATGTATACACAACCTACACTTCCTACTTTCAGAACAATCCTTTTTTCCATCATATTTTTGTCCATTCTCGACAGCTTTCTTTTTCTACTACTATGGAAAAGGAAGAAACCGAGAATTCTTAATGTTTTAAGAGTCGTTTTTTTTTTATAATGAGAAAGGTGAAAATAACGAACAGTGATTGATCTTTAAAAAAAATCTATATACAATATAAATCTGTGAACAGGGAATCTATTTTGTTGAAATACACTGAAGCAATTATACTTTTTAGCCAATTTCATAAAAATACCATTGGTCATGCTTTTATGGCTACGGGTCACTTAGTGTCGCAAATGGATCGGAAATTTTTATAACCCCATTCCAATTTGTAGTTGACCCTAATGATACTTTAGACATGGTGATTCTGTCAGACACACAAAATAAGAGCCATAACTGTGACGTACCATTTCCTTTTTTCTAAATTCTTCTATGCTTACAGAAAATGACTTTTAATTTGCTCTTTTTCTTTACATACAAAACTCATCACCAGCATTTGAGTCGCCCGGTCGCGTGATGCAATGGTAATAGCGTCTGCTCTAGAGTCGCGGAGTACGGAATTGATCCTTACGTCGCGGGTTCAAATCCCACTGTGGGACGTGGAGACCGGTCCTTCGGATGAGACCGTATAAACCGAGGTCCTGTGTCGCAGTTGGTGCTGGCACGAAAAAGATTCCTCACTGCTCAATGGCCCTAAGTGCCGAGCATAGGTAAAAATTTGCAGCTCACCACCGGCAAGTGGTGGCGTCTCCATATGAGTGAAAAATTCTCGAGAGGAACGTTAAGGATAAATAACACAAACAAACTTTTTTCAGAGATCAGCAATATTTCTCATAGATTTATATTCAAACTGGTAAACTGAATAATGTTCACCAGGTATAGTAGGAGAATTTCATAAGATTTTGTCATAAGGTTAAAAAAATTGTGCGCGATACAAAGTCTCGTATCTAAGCACTAAAGAAAACTTACGATATCTTCATATTTTACGGATTTATTATTTATGTCATTTCAAATCAAAATCAGTCAAAAAATATATATCAATCCATGCATCAAATTTTTGTTTGTGTTAAGTACCCTTAAACAACAAACAAACAAACCACCATTTGAACTGAGAAGGCAATATAGACTTTAGGGAATGTTCTCTTCTAAAAGTTGGAGGGAATAGAATAGTTAAGTATTATAGAACTATCAGTTAATCGACGTTCTTCTCTGGGAAGAAAAAGGTTCTTCTCAGTGTTATTTTTAAACTTTTCCTCGAGATCTAATCGCCTTTATTCTTTTAATTCTGTCTTTTTTGAGACATGGATGATGAAGTCATTTTATACCTTTAAAGCGGTTATCTTGTGAATCGATGCTTGAGACATAAAAACCCTAAGGGGAATACCCAAAAGTGTACTGGAATAAAGCATTTAAATTCATAAAGCTCGACCTACTAAAGCTGTGCCTTGTTAACCCGTCTACCGGGTATATATATACTTTTATCATCACTGATGTCTCTTCCTAGATACACTCTACATTGTTGATTTTTTTTAAAGTTTACTTTTATGAAAACGAAAAGTTCTTATCTCTATTTCAGAAATTGTACAGTATTATTGCATATTTTCGTAAAATCGACTTCTATAGATCAGCTTTCATAAAAATACTGTGTTTTTAATGGAATCTTATAATAAAAAACAAAAGGAAAATTATATTTGCAACCATATTATCGGTAATATTTTATATAACAAATACAGGTACATTATTTCGATTCAGTGAACATGAATATATGCATACATTAAAACAATATAACAAATACCGGTATATTATATCAATTCAATGACCATGAATGTATGCATACATTAAAACATAAAGATATACATCTAAATAGCGATGAATTAAAGAAGCCATTTTGTATCTGACACACATTGTACAACTGAGATCAATTAATGAAAAGAACAGATAAATTGAGCATTTAAATTACACTGTGTGCACTCCGAGTCTAATGACTAGTAAAAGAAACTGGGTTGATCTTGGTAAGGTTTGCAATTGTGGTGACTTATTCACGATTTTTCCGTGTTTCACAATGCTGTGCTTTTATATTTTTCATTATCAATTTTAAAATATACAATTATATATATGCATATACATATTTTTTGGAGAATTCATGTAAACATATGGAAGCTTTTTGAAAGTTAATTAAAATATTTCAAATACAGTAAATACCCATTATTATATCATGAATCATTTTAACTAATAAAATGAAGAAACATCACAATACATAGGACGGGTTACATGTTTATGGATGGTGTACATAGTTAATATTCATACATGGAAGCAATGATATTTTTACATTTGATGTACCTCAATTCAAGCGAAGTAAAATGTATTGCAAAGCTTACATACAAAGTTAAACGTCCACTCAAGAGATTAAGGTTGAATATTGAAAGTACAAACATATATCTTATGCAATTATAATACTGGCACTTTTAATTCTCTTGCAGCGTTTTGTCTCGTCTTGAGCGACCATTTTATGGTCGACAGTTTTTGGCACATAGAGTTTGTCACAGAAACTGACATAAAGTGTTTTATCACAGATATTGTTCAATGCACGTGGATTTACGTGCCTGAAAATGCCATGCTGAGAACATGACGGTATTCTTCCATACTCGGCTTGCTTTCCTCGAACTGCAAACAGCCAGAGTTGAGTATGTTTTTCATTTAAGAGAAAGCGTTCCTTATTTAGACAACAAGGATACAAGGAGGTTCAAAACTTCCGTGTCTGCCTCTGCAGTCATAATTTGAAGACCCCAAAATAATTTTCATGCTTGTATTTCTCGTCGTACTGAAGCTTTCCCGTGTCGGACATTTTCACTCGGAGCTCATCACCCTTCTCCAAATATACCACTCTCTGAAGGAAACTACTGTGGACAAAGGATGTTTTAGTGCACTGGACTGACGTAGATTGTACAGATTTGTATTTGCTCGACATATTTCGACTTTTTTCTATGGTATGCTTGATGTCTTTCAACTGCAAAAGTTGCCTCTGTTCTTCGTCGAGTGTAGAGTTGTATTTGAATGTAATACGACTGTATACATAGTAATACCCGCTGGACGGGATGATAATGGTCCCTCGTTCACTGTTGAAACTCAGGCCCGACGAAATGGGAGAAGAACTGTCTTTATCTTTTATCCATTGCTTCAGGAAGCAATCTGAACCATCTAAATCATAAATATATATCAATTGATATGGCTTTTTATTGACTGAATCAGATTCTTTATCTAAAGGTTTTTTATAGAAGTAAACCAGAATCAAAACTCTATAGATAATAATAAAACATATTAGAGATTTTTACCTGTTTGTGGCGTGCCTTCAGTCAAATGCAAGACATCTATAACAAAGAACAAAAAAAATTATAAAGCATAAAAACAGTTTTGTTGATCAAAATCAATATTAGGGTCAATAAATTTTACGCAATCATTTATCAAACTTTTTACCAAATTATTTTTATCATATTTTACCGTTGTACTCTCTTGGCTTCAGAAATTTGGCAATCGAATCGACCATTTCCTCAAGTGAGCACATATCTTCGCTGTCATAGTTTGAAGCATTTAGTTTGTGCTTGAGGATAGAGCACCTGATTTTGGTTTCTTGCTTTTTCTCTTGAAGCGGGAATACTTGGTGACGAGCTTCTGCTTTACCGGGTTTCATATCATTTTCATTTCGCTGAGGAGTTGAGAACACATTGTCTAAGCCTTTACTGTCATTTGAGAAACGCATGAAAAAGACAGCGAAAAAGATACACACGAGAAGGATGATAATGACGTTAACAACACACAATACGCAGAAATAAATCTTCAATTTTGTGTAGGACTTGTAAAGATCGTCTAGTTTCTGCTGATTGGCACATTGCGTAAAAGTTGAAATACAACTTGGTGTTCTGTTCATTTTGGGGATAAGTTCTGTGAGACTGTCCCGTGCCTCCTCGGTATAATACCCCTGGCTGTATTCTGTCTCCCCCGACCCGTCACTAGAGATAGAAAACTCTAACCTCTTTCTCTTCGGTTCGCCCTCTGTTTGCGGCGGATTCATTATAAGTGCGAGATGACACAATATTTCCTCTCGATTGCGGTAGTGTAAATTGTGGTTATTCTAGAGTAAGTCTTGTCTCATTGAAGATTTAAATAACTCAGTGACGTGTGTGTAAAACCCTCTTGGCAACCTCTGACCACAATAAAGACCTCAGATCGGATATACTGTTCCGGTAAAGGAATCCCTCGTCCATGAAAATGTTGAATCACCTTTAATAAAAGGAGAGTTCTGATTAGTGTAAATAGTATAGCTTCCTAGTCTCTCAAAAATCCCAGGTCTGCACTTTCTTTTCACCCTTGAAGAAGAGTATGATTATTTAACCTACTGAATATCACTGAAAACAACCCGAATCAGGGATCACAGACTAATTAAACATTTAGATCAAATTATTACCGATATAAACCTGCAGGTGAAAATCTTATCTGCTTTTAAATGGCAACATTTCAACTGATAGTGACGCCATTGATCGTCTGCTTTATAATGCATCGTTTACCTAAACAATTTTGAATTTCTTGCATACAAGACAGAAATTGACGCAAAGTCATGCATTTTTTTTTATCTTACCTGAAAGATTTATTACAACGAAGTTATATACTCACTGCATAGTTAAGCTTATTCTTTCGTTTCTTTTTCGATGAAGACTGTTTATGTTTTCTTAAAGTATAAACTTTTAAATTGGAAAAATAGGTCAAGGATTCTTAAGTGCAACGTGATTTATTTTTGAACCTCCTTAGACTTTAAGGGATTTGATCGAGCGGTGTTCTGTAAGACTCTGCTTTGTACGTTGGACAGTTCAATTTCAAAGATGCAATTATCTCCCTGTTGGTATACGCATACTTTGAATGACGCCGCTACTTTCTTAATATAAAATCTTATTTTGCATTACTTTAATCTTGATATGTGTGATAATATAAAATACAGAAATTATACAATTAATCTCTCCCAAATGAAAGAAGACCCCCACCAAAAAATAATGTAGAGAAAGAAAATGTTTTCAAAATAGAGACAAGTAAATATCAATGACCCAAATATGAATTGTTGTTATCATATAGATAGTGTACAATACACAGTAATCAGTGTGGAGGTCAATGATGGTACTTAGATGTCGACCTATAAATATGACGAGGTAACGGGGGCTTGGATTTCCGTAGCTCTCGTCATATGCATACACTCAATATTTATACAAAACAGAAACAAGGATGTGAGGGAACGTCATTTTTATTCTGGAGATATGATTCCACGACTCAAGTTTATAGTAATGAAAATATTCATTTAACATTTCAGGAAGTTATTTCAAGTTTACAGATTTGTTTTTGTCACCAATTCTTTTAATTTATAACATTTCTATCACCATATAAATGTATCTTCTATGTAGATTTTAAACGGTAATGTGTGATAGGAAATGACAAAATCGTTAAAAGTGAAGGGTTTTAATAAGTTTAAGATACTTGTATGTTGAATGTGGAAAAAAATCCGTGTATAGCAGAAAAATATAACATGTCACGTAAAAAAATATAATGTTAGATAAACATTATAAAATAAAACATTTATTTAACCAACAAGTTAGAAAATAAATAAAAACTAGATGTGTTTCTTGTTGCTAGGGCAACAAGTGGTCTTCCGACCGAACTTTTCTCCAGAACGCTATGCTATCTCACTTCATTTAATACTTTATTGAAGGTATTTTTCGTTTGCGTTTATGTAACACAGTCTTTCAACATAGATCATAATTATCAAAGGATTTCTGTAGACTCTCTGTTAACAAAGCTTTAAAAAATAAGCAAAAACTATCATACATGTCTTGACGGAGTAAAATATTAATTACAACTAAAAAAAGAGAGAAACAATCTCCTGTCCCAGCAGGATTCGAACCCGCAACATACGAGAAAGTTAGGTTCGGTCATATCTTTGCAATAAATGCATCAATCAAAATGATGAAAACATATATAGAATTCTTAGAAGACTCTCTATTGACCCTATAAATTTCAAAGAAAAATACTGAAAAACAAAAAAGTTGCAAATTTAACATTTTTGAATTCACTTCCGTTCGCGACCGGAAGTACGAACGACGAAAAATAAAGGTCGATCAGCATATCTACATGTGATGTTCTATCATGTCCGTGAGTTTCACTTTCATATCTTTCATCGTTCTTGAGAAAATTAAGGGACAAAATTCCATTTCAAAAAATACAAATTTCCCCAAAAAATGCGAACGGAAGTGAATTTCAAAAAAATGAAAAACACGTCTGGAGATATTCTCATGATGCATCTTCCCTGAAAATGTCTTTGAAATCCGTCCACTCACAGCTGAGATATCGGCCGTACTATGAAAAAAGAATAATAATAATAGGAAACAGACGAAAAACAATAAGGTCTTCCGAAGGAAGTCGGAAGACCTTAATAAATTGTAAAAATGAAAGGAAAAAAGTGTTCTTGTCTTGGAATATTTTGTTCCGGTCCTTTTTTTTCATTTTACAGGTAACCTATGCCGATATATCCTCAATTAAGATTAGGAATGTTCGATAGATTCAAATATGTTTTGTCGTACATGTAAAATTTGTATATGTACAATCAGTACAAATATATACGTATTCATTTTGTCAATGACATTACATTACATATACAAAATGTTAGGTTTTACTATTTTATTATGCCCCCGGATCGAAAGATCCCGGGGGTATATTGTTTTTGTCCTGTCTGTCTGTTTGTCTGTCTGTCTGTTGTCAACTTTAACCTTGCCCATAACTTTTGATTGGTTGGAGCTATGACTTTCATATTTCACATGTGTATTCCTTGTGACAAGACCTTTCTTTGGGTACCATCATATTTGACCTTTTGACCTTGACCTTGGAGTTTGACCCACTTTTGCAAAATTTTATGAGACTTTAACCTTGGCCATAACTTCTGAACAGTTGGAGCTTGGGGTTTCAAACTTCACATGTGTATTCTTTGTGACAAGGCCTTCTTTTGGATACCAACTACTTTGACCTTTTGACCTTGACCTTGGACTTTGACCTACTTTTGAAAAACTTTAACCTTGGCCTTAACTTTTGAACAGTTGGTGCTTAGGGTTTCAAACTTCACATGTGTATTCCTTGTGACAAGACCTTCCTCTGGATATCAACCACTTTGACCCTTTTGACCCTGACCTAGGAGTTTGACCTACTTTTGACAAACTTTAACCTTGGCCATAACTTTTGAATGGTTGGAGCTAGGGCTTTCATACTTCACATATGTAATCCTTGTGACAAGACTTTCCTTTGAATACCAACGACTTTGACCTTTTGACCTTGACCTAGGAGTTTGACCTACTTTTGAAAAACTTTAACCTTGGCCATAACTTTTGAATGGTTGATGCTAGGGCTTTCATACTTCACATATGTAATCCTTGTGACAAGACCTTCCTTTGGATACCAACCACTTTGACCCTTTGACCTTGACCTAGGAGTTTGACCTACTTTTGAAAAACTTTAACCTTGGCCATAACTTTTGAATGGTTGGTGCTATGGCTTTCATACTTCACATATGTAATCCTTGTGACGAGATCTTCCTTTGGATACCAACCACTTTGACCTTGACCTTGACGTTTGACTTTTATTTAAAAAAACTTTAACCTTCACCATAACTTTTGAACAGTTGTATCTAGGTCTTTCAAATTTCACAGGTGTTTTCCTCGAGACAAGATCTTTCTTTGGGTATCAACATTTTTTATCTTTTGGCCTGGATTTTGACTTGCATTTGAGAAACTTTAACCTTCGACATAAGCTGCCATACGGGGGCATAGTGTTTCACAAACACATCTTGTTTATTTAATTTTCCTTTCATAATTTATTATTTCTTTTCTTTAATTAAAATAACAAAACAAAAGAAACTGGCACTGAAAATCAGCGAAAATAGCTTTGATTGAAAATCACTGCCAACTACTTACTACATACCTATCTGTTTATCTAAATGGCCAAGAGGTTAACAAGAAATAAAATTTGTTACACATTTTATAAGCATTTTTGAGAATTGAAACTCTGACTTTCGTTTTCGTTTTTGAAAATTTCTATTCATTTTGAGTTATTTTTAAAACGCCAATTGAATGAAGATTTGTTTCATTCTACATTATTTCGTATATTTTTTCCTATTATTTGAAAATAACTATTCATATTCCGCGGGATTTACGAGATTATATTTACATGTATATATACAATTGTTTTTGGAGCATCGGAAAATTCGCAATTACAGTGAATTCATTCATTTGTGTTACATAATCGATTCAAAAAAGTTCATACAATCTCAAAGTTTATGGAGTATAAATGGGAATTAGAAATAGTCGCTTTCATTTATTTAGTATGAACCACGGGTTGGAAACATTGCTTTTAAGGATATTTTATCATTTAAAAAAAGTCATTTTTCATTCATATGTCGACTCAATATATCCCAGTGAACTTGAAATAAAAGACACCATAGAGTCTGCCACATCTGTTTCATATCTGAATGCTTTACTGACTATAGAGGATACGGGCCAACGAACAACTAAACTGTATGACAAACGAGAAGACTTCAGCTTTTCCATCGTCAAATTTCCTTATTTATGAAGTAATATTCCGCTATCACCTGCATATATTGTTTACGTCTCCTTATTCGATACTCAAGAGCATGCTCTGGGTAAGAACAATTTTTAAAGCGAGGCAAACTACTGACAGGGATTTCAACCTTCGTATAAAGTCTGCATTTCATAAATTCTAGGTTCGTTATAATGACCTTGTTTGCAAATATAACCTATCATTGGGTCGTATTTTGAATGAAGTGTTTCATACGAATTGTTAGGCCTTTGTTTTTATACTAATTTGACTACAGAATTCTCCGCCTACCTGATTAATACACAGGGCTTATGGCGGGTGTCATCGTCGACAGGGGATGCTTATTCCTCCTAGGCACCTGATCCCACCTCTGGAAATCCTGGGGTCCGTGTTTTATGCCCTGTTTACAGATTTGTATTGTTTGTAGATTTTTTTTTAGATCGATCACTGTTCGTTATCTTTTTCATTATGACTGAATGCAGGATGCTTGGTAAAAATAGATATTTTTTTTTTTTTTAAATCCATGTAACCACGAAGATTTTAAAAACATCTTATTTTCTCTTTATTCAATAATGCGCACACACATGTATATGTTGCTTCAAAGTTGTTAAAATTTGAATACATGTCCTTTTACGATAATTAAACAAACACAACACTGGTATAAGACTTTTTATTATTTGAGGTAGCATAGAAAAAAAATCTCAATAGTAAGTAAAACAAAACGTAAAAGCGTTGTTTAAAAAACTAAGAAAAATTAACAATGTCAACAATGAATGAGAACACCCAAAGTTCAAAGCAATCATAGTTTGAACATGCCGATATAATTCTCGCTGGCATCACTAATGTCATAATGCACTTTTCCAGCTCTAGACACGGTGACTTTTAACTCTTCGCCTTTTCGAAATTTCGCCACCCTTTGTATTAAACTGTGAGTATTCATGTCTGTACTGGTCGTGGAAGTCACTGTCACAAATTTCTGAAAACCTTGATTGGCTGGTTTGATTCTGATTGAGTGCTTAATGGCTGTCTGTCGTGACCCCGTTCTTGTGACGTCAGAGGTAAAGGTCAATCGACAGTACAAGAAATAGTAACCATCAGAAGGGATGATGATGGACGAATTTGTCGCATTGTACACAACTGAAGAATCTGTGTTCTTGTCCCGAGTCCATTCTGAGACTGTGTATTCTAAATGTTCTGCAATAAGAATAAGATTACGTGAATTTTAGTTGAGAATACTGTTTAAAATAGTGCTTCACTTAACCCTGAACGTGACAAAGTCCAACGTTAACATCCTGTTTCCAGTAATGATATAACTCTGTGTGTCAAAGTGCACGATTTTTCTTGGAAAATCTAGTTTACAAAAGCAGGTAACAACATAGTCTTTATTTGTAAGGTTTATTATTACAATATTTACTGCATTTTAGAGGAACTTGGATTTAATTCTGCAAGTGGTAATTCAACTTATACTCACAGTTCCCTTTCTAAGGAGGAAATCCCTCAAAATCATATGTCAGTTTTAAATATTTTTAATATTCCCAACAACCAATTTGAATTTGAATTACCACATCTATCCTGGATTCCTAAACTTAATAAAAATCCTTACAAACTTAAGATACATATCAGGTCAAGTAAATGTTCTGCCAAGCTCCTTTCTTTACTCCTCACAAAAATATTAACAGCATTGAAGAAGAAACTTCAGGAGCACTGGACAACATATTTGAGAAGTGTTGTTAATCAGATGTCTGCAAACTTATTTTGTAAAACAACAGTCTGAATCTATGCACAAGTACTCCAAGGTTGATATTAAAGAGATTATTTGAGTTTCTCATTGACAATATTAATAAAGTTTTTTTTTGGAGACCAGGTCTTCCAACAATTTCCATGGGTCCTGATTGTGCCCCGTTGTAAGCAGTCCTGTTTTGTATTCATATGAAGCAGAATTTATTCAAAATCCTCTTTATAAAAAGAAGTTTCTTGCTGTGGTCTTCAATTCGACATTTAGATATATCGACGACGTTTTATCAATTAACAATATTCAGTTTCATACCTACGTTGATTTGATATATCCCTTTGAACTCGATATTAAAGACACCACAGAGTCTGACAAATCTGTTTTTAGTGGGGATGTTTTACTGGAGAAACACCTAGACAACTAAACTTTATAATAAACGTGATGACTTCAATTTTTTTCTATCGTGACCTTCCTTTACTTATGAAACAACATTATTATCACCTGTATAATTATAGATTTTATGTCTTCCAGAAATGTCCGTCGGATGAGACCTTAAATAGTGCCCCGTGTCAAGGATTGTAACCCCTTGGCACGCTAAAGATCCCTTTCTCTGGTTTTCGAAAAAGAGTAGGCTCATTGGGGGCCGCCAGAGAAACCCAAAAACTTTCAAAACCGTTCATACAGTATTTAAATTCATACCGCCGAAATATGCTAAAATATTGCCGACTCAGCGTAAAACAACAATAATCTATAAATCAATCTTCCAGAAGTTTCGATACGAAAACATGTTTTACGTACGCACAAATTCTGAAAACGACGCTGGCAACTGACAAATAAGTTGATGATACAAGGATATCAACAATTTCGTTTGAAATCAACAAATTCGCAAATTCTAAGATCAATACAATGACTTTGTTTGCAAAATAATACAATCTGTCGTAAAATCGAATATTGACAGACGTCTTTCATACAAATTATTATGCCATTATTTTCATACTGAAATGTCTACCAATTTTTAGGCCTTTGTTTTTATACTAAATTTGACTACGGATTGTTTCGTATACCTGATCAATACATAGGACTCACTGAGGGTGTGACCAGTCAACAGGGGATGTTACTCCTCCTAGGCACCTGATCCCACCTCTGGAATTTCTGGGGGCCTCTGTTTTCATAATTTGTATTATTTAAATGGGATTTTGAGAATGGTCACTTTTCGTTATCTTCACATTTCATTACAAGAGTTCATTTATCAAGCACACTTTAGTTTGGGATTAGGATGGGATGTAGATGCATGTCATAGTCTTTCTTCTAAAAGGCATTATCTGTATTATATAATTACAGCTGAATATTTAGAGTTTAGATGCTTAAATTCAATCTGGATGTTCATACAATATCTCTTAAGTATAGATATCATCTAAAACACTGAAAAACATCATTATCATACACTTTCTAATGATTTTGGTAATATAATGATGCAATATAAATACATTTTTGAGAAAATGCTACCGATAATATTAACAAGACACTTACCATTTCTTTCTTCCTCTGGTATACCACCAATTAAATGTATTACATCTGAAAAATCAATAAGGAATGCATTAAAATATCTGGCCAATAAAATTTCCTTTTCTGAATTTTAAATCCAATGCATAAGACGAAACATATTTTCAATTCATACCTCTGTATTCTGTAGGTTTCACAAACTGAAACCAAAAAAAAAAAAAAAAAAAATAAATAAATTGACAAGTTTACGTAAAAGCATTTAGCTATCATAATATTTATTTTTTCTTTATACATTTATAAATGAAATAGTACACATGATTAGAATTAATTTACCTTGATCAGAGCATCAATCAAGTCCTCAAATGAACAACTTCCCTCGGGGTCCACGTCTGAAGCGTTAAGCTTATATCTAAGAGCTGCACAATTCACATCCTCCGTTAATTCTTTGGAAATTTTGGTTTTAAACAATCGTTCGGCTTTTTTACCTATCGGTATGTTTTCTTTAGCTTCCAACAGACGGGTATTGTTCTTGTTCATATCATGTTGGGTCAAATTACGCGAGAAAGAGATGTATACAAGAACACTAATCGCGACGAGTAAGAAAATATTCGCAACCAACAGTACATAAAAATATATTCTTAGTTTTATATTCGATCTGTATAAATCCTTTGCCAGAAATTCATTTTGTAGAAAAGAGGCCTCAGTAACACAACTCGAGTTGCGATGCATGCATTTTGGAAATAGCTGGGATGTTGATGAGGATCCCTGTATCCCCCTCTCTGCATCGAGATTTATCTTTGACATGATTTCGTGAAACATACCTTGTCAAAAATATTTTAAATTATACACGACAATGCCAATTCATCTATATATAGAACCTAACTATATGTAACACTTCTCGATTTATTTTCCTCATGAAACACAATTTGACGTTAGAGGAAAAATTTCCGTTTCAGCTGGTATAAAAACAAAATCTTCCTTTTAAGGCTTCAAAAGTTATGTATAATAATAGATTAATGCTCATTAACAGACGAGTTATTAGCCAACCTACCTGAACAAAGTGCTGTTTCCGTTTCCAATATGCATTCTAAGCGTCCTGAGAGCTTAAACTTGATTGGTTCATTGGATGCACCAACACAAAACCACGTGTCTGTCGTTTTTAAGGTTTTTTTTTAAAATGTGCTGTCTTGGTTTTTCTTTAATCCACGATTTTCTACTTTCGTTTTTTGTGTAAACGTAAATAATCAATCCACCTTCAGCTAACTATAGTAACCTTAAAAAAACACAAGGATGAATTAATAAATATTTTTTGCTTTAACATTGTTTGAAAAACTCTAGTGTGACTATACGATGTAATTAACAAAACCACACACTTTATAATAAAAGCAAGTAATACTTTATTTGAATAATAGCTTTTCGTTTAAAGCGTAGCTGTAGATTTACTAACAGATTAAATATGGATCCTCGATGTGTGTCAATAGATAAACGATAATTTGCATGTTGACATTTGTCAGTAAGTTCATGAACTTAGTTTAATGTATTCGGGAGTATAGTGTGAGTTGTGGTTTCATAACACTGATAAAAAAATTATGTTTACAACATTTATTTAACTTGTATAATTATGCTTTGAAATGAACCAAAAAAGGACAAAATTCCTTGAGGCGTTGTCTGTAATATAATATATTCAGTATTCGACCCATTTTGGACGGTGAAGTTAAAACTTTCGAAATACATACTTACATCGGTATTTAGTATTCATAGATATGCAATGGTTAGAAGTATTCTAGCAAAACGCCAATATTAATCTGTCTCGTGTGATTGGCAAACTCAGTCAGTAAAGTTAATCTGATTTCTAATAATAAATATATTGTTCTAATACTTCCGTCAACGATACACATTTATTATTTTTGAAAAAAAGATGCTACAATGTATGTATAATGAGTTGAAGTAGGATGCTTCTAATGAGTATTCACACATTGCTGTAAATAGAACAAAGAAATATCAATAATCACTAAAACCCATATTTTATTATTTTGCTACTTCCTTGTCCTTAGAAAGTTACTTGTCCTTTTTTTTGTTGTTTTTTGTTTTACAGCTTCCCAGTGTTATTCTCTCTCTCTGTCCCTCTCTCTCATATGACATGTTTCACAACTTCGGCAGGTGTTATGAGGTGAAATACAGAAAATAGTGAATTCAGTGATATTATGCAATGGTAAATAGTTAATAATACGATAATGTAGGCCATATTTTCTTTTGATGATTATGAATCCTTGCATTATTATTTTCATTTTTTTTTCTTTTTCGTGATAAAATTCACCTGAGCATAATAGATTTCATTTGTTCTGGATCAGGTAAGTAGCATGAGAGTGCAGGTAGAAGATTTTTGGCACACATTCGACTCAAGGCCTTGAGAAAGAGAATATTATTTATATAGTAGCTGACGTGTTTTATACCCAATGTTCCTGTATGGGTATTTAATCTTGTAAACATTAGAACATGTCAATAACTTTGCTGTCCTGATTTTTCTACTGGTATTGCGCAGCAACAATTAAACAATAATCAGATCGAACAGATTTAAAGGGTAAAAGTGACCCTAGATTACCCCTGTTAGACAAGAGGGTCCCAGAAAAGGCTCCCTTCCTTATGTCAACTGTATTTTTTCTAGGAAAATTCACATCCTATCCTGGCAACAGTTTAAACAAATGGACGCAAGCAAAACGCAGCTTGAAATATTATGAACTTACAATTTACAATTGATTGATTTTTATCAATATAATTCTTGGGGGAAATTTAATAGTATATATATATATATATATATATATATATATATATATATATATATATATATATATATATATATATATATATATATATATATATATATATTAAGCAACAACATGCTATAAAACGCAGAAATAAAATATTTATTTAATATATGTTATTCGCCATGTTACTGAATTTCAGAAAGGGAGTTTGTAAACACTGACACACGCATCAAAAGATAAAAAAAATAAGATATTGAGCCTATAGTTTGTGTACAAGTCAAGGTGCACGTCTGACAGTTTCAGACTGACATATGTGTCAAGATTAAATGTTAAAGTGCATACGATGAATCATTTCCTAAATGATTTATAAAAATTGACTTTGTTGTGTCCTGTTCTCCATCTGTTCACCTGTATAGGATAATACCGAACAAAACTGGTCAAGCTTTTTGGATGGTAATCCCTTCAAACCAAAAATGAAGTTTTGAAAAATTAAAAAAAAAATTAGCATTGGATTTGATCAAGATTTTTTTAAAGTTTTATTGTGTGTATTAAAATTCTTCATTGTTTTGGAATCTTATGCCCGGAAACAAAATTATAAAAAACTAATACTTATTAATTTGAGTATTCTGTAACATGCGAGATAATTTATTTATTTATTTTTTGAAATAAGAAAAAATAAAAACATATATGCTATGGATACTTGTACATGAATGATTCTAGAGTATATTCTACAAAACCTTCATTAAGTTAATTTAAGTCTTCATTTTACTAAGCTTAATTGAAAAGATTTAATTGTGAAAAGTAAACTTAAATATTTCACAAAGTGTCAATTATGACTATTAATGTATAAAGAACATTTAAAATCTACATTTTGGACAGAAACTTTTTTAAATGTAAAAACAAATAAAAAACGAGGAATCGAAATTAAAATTAATATCTTTCAAGTGTATACTTGAAGAATGAACACTTAGCCCGGTTGAGTGTGTGTGTGTGTGTGTGGGGGGGGGGGGGGGTCTACACTGTTAGGTCATCGAAAATTAGAGACTTTTAAAATTTACCCGAAATACAAAGCAGTTAATTTAGATGTTTTATCTAGAATTATAATTTGAAAGGGAGAGAAAGATTAAATGCTGACTTGATTTTTCCTCATTGGTTATCTTTAAAAAATTATTGTTGTAAAGGGGATGGGGTTACCTTCTACAAACGCAATCAAATATTTTCTCACAAACCGTTTAATTCCTATTTGTTTGTGGGGGTGTACTACTATTTAAAATACATGTAAAAAGTGTACATATTTCCTCACGTGTTGAATTGTCTCTTTCTACCAACACAGACAGCGAATAGTCTTATGCAACACGTGTATTCGGAAATTCTCTATTTCCTCTATGTGACATGACACAGAACATCAATATTGCCACAAAAATAATATTAATATTTGACACATTTTATAGGGATATATTTAATATACACAACACAATACACTTTCATTCAGTTCGGAGAAGCTCTTTCTAAAAACTAATAAGGATTTCACTGGAAAAAACCTGCACTTTTAGTTTTATTTAGAGTTATTATTCATAAATAAAGCTAAAGGAGAGAACTTTTTCTTAATATTTCATCCATTTAGTTTCGGAAAGAAAGTGTTTAACTGGCCATGATTTATTTAGAAGTTCGTCAATAATGGAAGCATTCTTTTATTCAACTATATGTAACATTTTTTTTTCTTTTTTGAAATGTCAAACTAACTTCTTGGAATGTACTTCTTTTATGAAATTGAGCATTTAGAAAATCACGCTTATTTACACAAGTATTTAAAAATTTTAATTCCACCAATTGAATGCTTTAATGTTACTTGCGGAAGAGCATAGGTGGAACAAATTGCAGCTTTAGATTAGGCCTCTATATCTGGGGGGGGGGGGGGGGTGTCGTGATGGTGTGTTGATCCAGAGTACGTATAATCTCTTCGTAAATAATGATGAATTTTATTATGATGTGAGGAAAACTCAGTCGTTGATATTTCTGGAATTTATGAAGAGGAAGAAATTTTACGAAATTATGAAAATTTATGTCGATACATATCTGCAATACAAACCTTACTGCAAAATACATTCGAAACTACTTAATATTCCTAATCTTAATATTGGGGAGTTAACTACCAAAGACCTGCAAAATGAGAAAGGGACTTGAACAAAGTTTGCATGTCTCCTTTATTAATGACTACCTATCACCGCGAAATTGTTTTAACACGGATTTTCTCCTCTGTTTTATAAAAATAGGGTATCCTTACATCCAGACGTCTTCAATTTCTTAATTAAGATTAATTTTTTGGAACTGGAATTCACGGAAGGGCATTTTGGGAAAAACGTGGAAGTTCATCTGAAAACATTTAATCCGTGAACTTTAACCTTTACAAAAAGGACTACAGCTTCTTAGAACTATGTTATTATCGAACCTTAATAATAAAAAAACATAGCTTTTCTTAACTACGAAACGGTAACACACAGGAATATTTTACACTTGTAGTTACCCACTGTTTTCATCGATTTCTTAAAATTAATTTGTATTTCATTTCAGACACGCTTTCTTGATTCTGTACTAAATAAACAGATGTACATGTTAGCACAGCGGTGCCATTGCCGACGTAACGCGAACTATAGAGTTTCATCACACTGAACTGAGATCCCCCTCCCCGTCCAGTGCAGCTCTCTCTATCTATTAATAAATAAACGATTCATTGATATAATGAACCGATGGTTCAAAAACTAATTCTTTATATAATAATATCTACATCTTTATCTTTAAAAAGATAAGCTTGTAATACATATAGTTTATATATATATATATATATATATATATATATATATACACACGAAGTACGATCCGACAGACCCGCCTCATCATTGGTCCACCCTATGCAATATCAATTATTCTCAGTGGATTTTATTCGATTTTAATTTTGATCTTATAATCAACTCGCATATATTCTTGTGTCTTCTATAAGGGTTATGAATGAATTGTTCAGGGACACAAATTTACAGAGAGTGCATTAAACATCTGAGGAATACCACCGCT